TTCAAAAACATTAGCTATTGCTGGATATATTTCAGAAGAATTAGATGCACCAAAAACGGGACAACATCCATTAACACCTAAACAAATTCTTCAATTGCAATCTGAATTAGGAAATGAACGTCCAGATTATTTTGATAAACCTTATTATAAACTATATCCATCCAAACATGTACTTGGTAGGTTAAATAAAAGAATTCTTTGTTTTTTTCTTGAGAATCATCTTATTAAGAGAGCAAAATTGGATCTATTTGTATTGAGTTAAGTTATCTGATTATCTGAAGAAAGACAATGTTCTGATTACAGATATGTAGGATCAGTTTTGATTCCGATCTCGATTCACGCAACCGAATAAAGATCAGAGCAAAGCAGAACGAAACATTGCAGTTAAATCATTGAATAGCATTATTCAACCATGATAGCTAAATACTTCTTTCACTTTTCTTAGCATAAAATGATGATAAATCCTAAATAATCAAAGACGAAACTCAAACTTCCAAAATGTTTGGATTTGAGTTTCAATGTTGCACATGTCTAGTCCTGAGTCAATAGAGATGAAGACTTTTTTCGTTTTAACAAAAGTTAGCTTTGGTTCTCATCTATCTACAATATGCAATGAATGTCTTGGCTTGTCGTAGTCTTTGAAAGAAAACTATTTTACGATTCAGCATTACTTTTTGAAGTTTGAGTTTCTCTTTCAACACTCACTATTGAAGAACTAAAGTGTATTCATTCTAACGTACCTTCTATCGATAATGTCCGTCATAAACATGTAATAATATCACAAATAAAATCTACGAGAGTATATTCATAGGTTAAATATGATCAAGAAGACTTCACACGCACTTGAACACAAAGTCATTTTATTTATTTCACATAAATACTTGCAAGCTAAATAAATGGCATATTTCATGTCATCCGACGAAACTATGTTGTCTCATCTCGATATCTTTCTTGCGCTTGCAAGTTATTCAAGAGTTAAGAAACTTAAAAAATCGTTCAGAATTCTTTACGCTAATCTTCGAAAAGTCAGATGTATCATTAGTTTGAGTGAATCTTTTTATAAATTAAATTTATTCAAATAAATCCATGAGGTAACATAAATAATAATGACATTCGTCCACTATTGTGTAATTTTTCATGTCATCAATTGATGTCTAATAAATGAACGTATAAAACGAACATTGTATAAAATCACATGAAAAGTAACCGAATGAATAACACAGATATGCAAGAGATTTCCCTATTCTATCCTGCAGAATAGAGTAAGATTAGGGTTAGAGAATTTCTCTCAGTCAGAGTACAAGATATGAAAAAAAAGCTTATCCTACACAGTTCTATCGTCTAATAACTAGATAAGCGAAACAATAAAAACTGAATTATGAAAATAAGAAATACATAACTATTTAAAATATTCTGTAGGTTGTCTTTACAAACAAAAATATACTTATCTAGAGAATCTTTTGTAACAAACAATTTTTTGTTACTATCTTAATAATATTTCATATATATTTAGGTCAATTATTTCGTTCATGTCTTCGTTTTGAACCAAATTGGATATCAATTCAAACTCCACCAACAACAATATGTTCATCACCTGTTGATCCATTATTAGTTCATGATTTACATAATGAATATACAACATCTGTTGAAGAATTAGCACGTATCTATCGTGAAGCTATTATGGATATAATGTATGTATATCGTTTTTCATCGGATGTTGATTTACTTTGTCGATTTGATTCGTCATCATTACAACATAAAACACCATTAAGTAAACAACAAACTGATTCAGCTTGCCTTGTTGCTGATTCAGCACAAGTTGAATTAAAACAATTAATACGTCGTATACGTCGTTTATTCTATCATGAATTTCGTTTTTGTGATAAAACACATTCAAATCGGTGTCATACCAATTGTATACAATGTGCAGATAAAAAAATGGCTAAAGCAAGTGCACTTTATATATTATGTTATACAGATACACGTCATGCACGACGTATGTTAAGTTTACCATGGTTATTTTCATCATTATTAATTGAAACAAGAAAATTAAATATAAGAAAACAAACAAAATTGTGTAAATTTAATACTTATTAATTTTTTGAATTCAAAATTTATATATCTATTTTTTATAGTATCACCTAAACTTGTTGCTCAAATGCTTGAAATTCAACCATATCGTTTAATTGGTCAATCATTACGTCGTGCATTACAATATTTATTTGATCAATCAAAATCATTTTGTTTTCATCATATATATTCACATGAAAAATCAAATATAATAACTGTTTCACTTGGACCAACATCAACAGCTAAACGTCTTTTATTAAAACGTCAGATATTATTAAATGATTATTTTATTTTAGAAATTCTTCATCATTATATGTATGAATCATTATCGAAAATACGTTCACCAATTACAGCATCAAAACCATTACTTGTTGACTCAGTTTGGCAACATATATTAACACGTTTTATTCTTGGTGAATGTTCACCATTAGTACTTATAACAACAAATTCAAATACAAATTCAATGATTAAAGATTGTCAACATTGGTCTGATGAACAAGCATGTAAAACATTACAACGGTTATTTGAAATAAGTGTTCAATGTGCTGAACATGGACCTGATTCAATTGATTATGCACATGCTAATGAATATTTAGTCTCAGCACTTCAACAAATGGCTACAACTGGTTCGTTATATTCGACTTAAGAAAAAAAAAAGCAAAAACATAAAACATTTTGCTTTCAAAACCCAGTGATCTGCATATATATACATATATATTTATCTTTTCTATTGACACCAACTACTGATATAGAACGAGAAGTCAGTTTCTGCTGTGATGAGTTTTCAAGCGTTTTTCTTTTTTTTTTCTTTTTTCTTTTTGCTGCTATTTCTGGCACTTACATTTTTAGAAATGTGTGTGTCTTTCTTTTTTTCTTTTTGCCTAGAAAAGTTGTGAAACATGCTCTAAAAAAAAGTAGACTTTAGCCTAAAAAAAAATAAATATATTTGAAAAACAAACAAAGCATTATTTCTATTATCAAATATGATAAATAAGTTCAATATATATCTTTACAATCAAGTATGTAAAGCAAAATACATTCTAAAATATCCTTTCAATAACGTACTCGAGTTTTCGTCCTTGTAAAAAGTGTCTTCGAGAAATGATTCCTCATTTGAAATTCGACAAATATTTAATTAGTTCTGTGAAGAATTCATTTCGTATTAAAATAAATCCAATAGGAACATAAGAAAATTTTTATTAATATACAATTAGTTGTTTTTATGTCATATTTCATAAATAATCACAATAAAAACCTTTCAATTTAATAGAATCGCACGACATAATGATGAAGGGATGTATGTAAGTGAAGACGAGACCTCTTTTCTAGCCACAGCCCGCAATAACACCCACCATCAGTATCGACATCCGACACCAACACTCACGCCAAAATCCATACTCTATTATCATCAACTGTTACCTATGTTTTACTGAAAGAACATTTTGATAGTGAAAAACATTTTCTCAATGGATCATAGAACTATGGACTATTTTTCAGAGACATTTTCAACATGGATATTTTATTAATGAGGAAATGTCGGCCATATTTTTGAAAGCATACTTTATAAAGAAGATTTTAATCTGCTACCTGTAAAGCTTCGTAAGTAAAAACGAAAGAAAAAAGTTGCGTTACATCGTTAATTGATATTTGATATCAAAGCATTGGTACAAATCTCGATCAATAAGTATCGATATACATACAAGAAATTTTCTTCTTTTTAAATGTGCATACAACTTTACTTTGCTGCATATTCAAAAATCAAAGTATGCCAGTAAAAAGAAAAAGTATTCATAAAATATCTTAGAATTTAATTTGTATCTAATTGAAAACCCACATCATATTATGATAATTTTTAATTCGAAAAGAAAATATCATGAAAACTATGAATAGTTTTTAAAGAGTATATAGTATAATGGTAAAAAAATTGTCCATAGTTGTCTTATTATTGTAATCTATCGAAATATATTATAAGATAGAAAAAGAAAAAAAACAACACTTGAAAAACGATAATATTCGTATGATATTATAATATCATAGGTAAATAGGTTTCGTTTATTTCTCATAGTTTTAAGACTTAATTTAGGATGATTCCAATTCTAATTGATATTATTTTCAGAAAGATTATTTCAATAATAAATTTGAAAAATAATCAAATAAATATCATTTGAATCCCTATTTTGATTATTATAGGTAGAGAAAAAAAATTTCATATTAATAAGAAAGAAACGTTTCGTATCGATAGGCGCCCTATGTAAATAACCTCTTTTCATAAAACTATGTGTTTTTCGTTCGTATAAATAACAATTAATTGATTCTCAAGCTATACATTACCAGATGGTTAGAAATATGTGTGTCTGAAATTTAGCGAACTATTTACATAAACACAATGATCAATACAAGTCCAATAATTAATGTTATACATGCCAAAAAGTTTATCTGAATAATCATCCAAACTTTCTAGTGATTAATATTCATTTGTGTTTTTTATCCATGTTTTTCATCTGTTTATTTTTCATCCTCAGTCATTCATCATGAGCTACTCATTCATCAAAAAAATTCTGCTGGCTCATCAGATATAATTTGATCAGAGCCGTCTATATTGAATTTCATCGAAAGTACAAGCTGAAGGGAAAAAAAATAATTATATATGTTTACTAATAACTATTCTACAAATAACTATTAAGAATCTCACAAAAGAAATATGCAGCTAAATACGACACATAATATAGATAAAGATATAATAACAAATAGTATTTCACAAGAATAACCTGACTAGACAAAAATAGATATTATCGGTTTTTTTTATTGACATATTTATTGACGAATAAGTTTTTCTTTATATATAAACATTTAAATTACTAACTACATGGCTATGAAAATGAGTATATGAAGAGTTCAAGAAATAATTGTAATGATAAATAAATTTATGATTATTCTTCCTCCTTGTCTTCGTCTTCATCTTCGTCATGTTCATCATCTTTGTGTGATGGTTGCTTGGATCCACCTGCGTCTGTCTTGGTTAACATCCATAATTTACGACTACCACTTGTTGATTGACTTGTTACACTAAAACCAGCTTTTTTAAGTGTTTCAAGAATATGTGCTACTGGATCAGTACATTGAACACCTTTTTCATGATCGCATAATTTTTCATTTGAACATGAGTCTTGTAAAATTCGTATTATTTCTGGTTGGACACGATAATTTTGAACACCAGTACTATGAACTAATGTTGGTCCTGATTTTTCTTCTGCTGCTTCACATGAAACTGTTAACGTAGTATTCATTGCCAAAGCCATGTTTCTTATATGTTAATAGTACCAACTATTCGAGAAAAAGAAAAAGGTAAAATTATGTGACTTAGTAAACAGCTTGCTTTCTACCTATATATATATATATATGATGAAGGAGACCTTGAAAATAAGTATGCGTTGTAGTATGTGAGTTGAATATATATGTGTGTTTGTGAGAGCGAGAACGACAAATCACACCATCTGTCTAGTATATGGGATCAACAAAAAAAAAAGAAAAAAAAATGAGAATAAGGAATGCAAAAAACAAGATGAGAAAACGGAATGTAAAAAACAAGACGAGAAAACGGAGTGCAGAAAAAAAGCGAAAGAATAGGAAAAAAAACATGACATTCTTAATTATATAACTGAATGAATAATCATTACATGAATAAGAAAAAAAGACTTTTTCTTTACTCGATAGTTTGATGAATTGAATCTTGACATTCCAAAATCAATCCAAAAACGTTGTGACCATCTAGTTTGTGCTCATATAAAATCCTATAGAGATCTACTCGAGAATTGAATGACATAGAAGTTGAATCAATTCTACTTTCAACGATAAATAAAAATGACCAAGAACCAATAAAGAGAGATTAACAATATTTTTCTTTAACATTCACCTTTTGTCGACAATTTTATACTTCAATATAAATTGAGCACATCACATGTTGATTTTTTAGAATAATAGAAATACTTGCATGAGAATACTGATGGAAAACTGTTCTAAAATGATGTCTAATAAATAATCAACAAGAAAAATCACAAGATTTTATCATTCTATGTTAAATAATCAATTTTTAACACATTGACATAAAAAAAATGATAAAAATATACTAAATTATATTTTTTTTATCAATTAAAAATATTTTTTTATTCGTAATCAAGCGTAACATTAGATATTATGTTTTCTGTTTGTTTATGGATGATTGGGTCGTTAAATTAATAAATTGTTTCAGTAAATATATTTTTAGAACAATAACTGTACCATTTTCTTCCTCGTCTTTATGTATATCATCATTTGAAATCATTCAAGCAATTGCTTTTGCATATAAAAAATGCATTTGTCATTTCATTACTTTAAGAAAACTTCATTCTCAAATAAAGGAAATATCTTATTCTAATAAATCCATTAGAGAAATTTTTTTATTACTTTTCAGTAAGAGTCCAATTTAATGGAAAATCGTCGATAGTAAATGCCATAATACTTGTCCATTGTTGTTAACTTTCAAAAGTATGATTTTTTGATGCAGTATTTGGATGATATTGAGACAAGAAAAAAAATCTTTCATGTTCTTCTATTATGAATTCATTTATTTCTGAATCATTTAGATTATTATATTCAATGCATGTAGACTTCTTCAACGACAACCACTTAATATAATTCGACTATCAATTGATGATAATATTCTTTTTCATTATGTGCTGATAAACCAAATGACTAAAAAAGAATATTTTCTTTTCCAATGGATTTTTTGAACGATTACATTGGCTACTTGTTGAAAATCATTCTTTTTCTAATTTTCAAAAATGATAATTTTAGAATTTTCTACTCAAATATACTTTGAATAATGAAATTAATTCTCAATTGATCAAGACAATATTTTAATAAACTGTAAAAAAAAGTTTTGATATTCACATAGTACTTGCTTGATAGATAAAAAAAACCTTCAATAAATCTATATGAATGTACTATTTGTTGACATTTTTCATAATTTCACAATTCAAGATTATCTAATAATATTTTTGATCTCTGGTGTTTATTTCAATCATCTTTAACTAACTCATAAGATTTGACTAAAATTTCTCATTCTTGTTTATCCGAAAGTAAAGCAATATTACCATGCATTAAATTTAGTTAACAATCAATCTTATTCTCATTGACAAGCATCATCATCATCATAACTAAAATCTTGGACATAACAATCTGAATAATCATAACTTGACTAAATAAAACCACCACTACGAGCTGATGCACCAAAATGTGGACGAATATTTTTTTTTCAAGTAAAAGTATACATGAAAAATTTTCAATAGGATACAATTTAGGTAATCAATACATGCATCTTATACCTAATAATCAGTATCAATAATAGTAAAGGGTGTTCCATAACAACTGATGATAAATTATCGACGACATTTTGCATACTTTTTCTTGACGTATAAGCTTGAAATTTTTTTATTTCTATATCTAACTAACGTCTCTAATTTTCCAAAGTTTCAGTTCTATATGTAAAATGAGTGCTGAAATGAATAGACAAGATTAATAGACATGAACTATTTTACTAGACTTTTGTAATATTTTTACTATGTAGTCAATCACTATAGAGCAACTAAGGATTATTATAACAATGCAGAAATGCATTTTTATCTACAATCTTTTGAATTTAACAACAAATTTGATGTTAAACGCCCACCATTTACGTAGGAAAACAGAAAAGACTAATTGGTTTGTATTGAATTTAAATGGACTCAAAATAATATGGAGTATTGGTCGTACAATTTCTACCACAATTATTGAATAACCATATAGAGTCAGTAGATAGCAATGCTGAATTTGCTAATGTATGAACAACTGAAATTGAATGAATCTTACTGAATGAAAAATTGCGTAGAAGAATGTTCGAGACATCGTTGCAATTAGAAAAAAGAAAATACAAAAGAATGAAAGAAATATTTCGAAAGAAAAATGTATAAAAATGATAGACTTAAATATCTAACTAAATACAATTGGTGAAAAAAAAACAATGACGAGCCTGCCAATACACATAGAGCTTTATTATAATCTACATTTGTGAGAAAGAGTCTGTTTTTTAAAATGTTTGTCATCAGGTGATTACAAATATCATTAATCAAAAAATAACGGTGATACAATATCTAGTAGGAAAAATCATATACTTCATCTTTATTTTTGCATTTCAGCTCTGGTGTTAGCTAGAGAGTTGGAACTTTGGGAAGCTAAAGATTATGATTAGATAGACATGTGCTAAAAATTTCAAACTCCTACGTTAGGAAACAAGATGAAAAATATCATTAACAATTTGTTCACAGTTATTATGGAACCACCTTTAATAATAATAGCATCATATTTATTATTGAATAGATTTGAATGTCAAACAATCGATTGAGTCATGCTTGATGAAATAAAAAATCCATCACTTGATGTAATTGCAAATAGTTTAGCCTGTCAGAGATCAATCAGAAAAGTAAAACAGACATGTTATGCTTAGTATTATAGATCTATTTTTGATCTGATATTAGATATTAATCATAGTTTTGTTTTTAGAAAGCAGAACTAAAAATATGAACTAATAATGTCAGAGAATAGCCTAAAACAACAAGGATATTAAAAAATTTTCTCTACCAGAATAGATGTGTCATCAATAAGACCATATGGCCGAAATTACCTATATGTCAGTCAAATTTAGTTTACACTTTAATATAAACTTGTTTTTTTTCTAATCCATGTTAATATTACACATGAAACGAGAAATCTATATTTATATTGCCTAATTCATTTTTTTGGTAATGTGATTTAACTTTATCTAAAAATAGTTTCGTGTCTACTCGATATGCATGCAGCACATAAGGACAAAACTGAGTTACGCTATTTTTTTAATGACTTCACAAGTGCATTCATCCCACATATATATATATTTTAAATAGAGCAATAATAAAAAGAAACAAATAGTGCTGATAAAGTATCATTGATAAAGACAGTTATGACATTACAGAAATAAAGTTCTACAATCTTCAAAAAAAAAAGAGAAAATTTAAAAGAGTTATGACATGTAGATTTTAGAAAAAGAAAAAATATACAACGCATGAAATGAAATAGGAATATATTAATTTGTTCGTGTTCATTTTTATCACAAACTATGTTGTCTTGTAAAGTTTATTTTTCTAACAAACATCACAGACATACAGACAACTTAGTCTTTAATTGCAATAGTGCTTGACTGAATGAAAAAAACATTTGATCATAACTTTAATTCTGATTTTGTAATATTTCTAATGAACGTTTATCTAGAAAACTTTTTGAATTTGTTGTTAACATAAATAAATTAATAATAACATTAATAATAGATACAATTATAATAATAATAAGTGCATAATTATTATTTCGTCCTAGTTCGATTTGTTTATGAGGATTTCTTATATCACCTTTAGCAATAATATACAGAATAAAAATTAAACCAATTTGCAATAATATCGATATACAAACAAGTATAAGAGATGCTATCCATATGCCATCATGTTGTTTTTGTAATATTAACATTCGTAAGTGCATAGCATTACTCACTAATGAAATTTTTTATTTTCTAATATTATAAATTTTTTATTTTAAAATTTTACTTACTAAGCAAAGCGATTATCATGACAAGATGACCTACCAAAAATTAATAAAATTTTTTATTGTAAATAACAAAAAAAAACAAATTTAAATAAATTTACCGATTGTCTTTTTTGTTGCATAACGATTATAGTTGTATGTAAGATCATTCTATGAAGAAAAAAATCATGTAAACAAATGAATAAATAAGATTAAGCTTTTCATTCGAAACTTTTTGACATTTAATATAAGAAACAACAATCAAAATATTGATGTAGACAAAGCGATAGGATTGTTCAATAATAATAATTTATTGTGTAAATGTCATATGTACACTTTCCCATTAGTCAACAAATCATGCTTTATACACTCGAGATAACAAAAAAAAAATAAATGACTCAACAACTTAATAAACCATCAGAGACTGTACATGCACATGTTTGCCAATAGCCTAGATCAATTCTTAACGTGGGAAAAAAGGTACTTGAGCGCATGCTATGTCAGTATATATAATATATATATATATATATATGAATGAATAAGATGATTGATAAGTATCATAAAATAGAAAATACTATCAATTGGACATTCGATTTTTCTCATACTCTTTCAATTATTGTATAAAATTGGTCTATGCAAATATTTACTTATCATTCAATAAGAATAAACATTATTTTTTCTACTTCTATTTACTTAACACAAATAATACGTTCATTCTTCTGCATAATGTATGATTGACAACAATCACATACTAGATTTTACAAGTGGTATGTGTGTAAAAGAGACAAGGAGAAAGAAACATTTTCATTATTAAAAAGAAGAAGAAAAGCATTGAACAGGTTTATCAAGGTTAATAATAATTACAATAGTTATATTCACATAAGACTAGCAATCAAATAGTAGAATCACGCCTTCAGTCATGTAACTAAATCTATCAACACATATTATAGTGTACCATTCAAATGAAAATTCTCAAAAATAACTATATATAATTATATGAAAACTTACGTTTGTATCACCAGTATTTCTCTCATTATCATCCTAAGAAAAAAAAGCAGAACCAATAAGATGGTTTTGCTTAATAGCAAAAAGTATAAATTATATGTTACAATTGGTACATAATCAAGTTATCAAGAACATTTCTATTATGATTTTAATATTTACCATTCTTAATCTAACGTTGGCAGGTGAATGAGATGGTGGTTCATCGAAACGTTTTGGTGGTTCAGGTGGTAAAAGAGTTTCTTGTTGTGTATATCGATCAAATTCAGATCGAGTGGGTGGTATTGGACGAATATTATCAACTTCTGGATACATAGGTGGTGCAGATGGTTCTTGATGGTAACCACGTGATGCCATGTTTTGTGAATTGTATATGCCTATGAAGATAAAAAAGAAATGATTGAGCCCATCATAATATTCATAACACAGGTTTGGGAAAAAACCAATCGATTGAAAATGTCTAATGATGAATAACGCAAACAACGCGTCATTTATTTTCTTATTCTTTCTTGTTCATGTTTTTTCTATTTTTTTAACCTCTTTCTTTCTCTCTCTCTCTACTTTTCTGTCTCTTGCATGAGTGTGAATAATGTGCATGCCAAGGCTATCTTATGGTATGTAGTCATATCAAATGCCTCTTTTTTTTCCTCTGAAGCAAATCAAAACAATCAATCTATTGCGATGAGAAAAAAATCGAGTCATGTTACTCACGAGAGAGTCGTATTTGATGACAATATGTATTGAATGATTGAAAAACAATGTTTATCAAAAGTAAGAGTAAGTTTTTTTATAATACAAATGTGAGAAAAACGAAAATACGGGGCGAAAAAAAGAGAAAGAAACATGGATTCATGTGCAGACAACGATGACAGATGTTGAGCAAAAAAAGAGAGAAGACGAGAGAATGACTAAAAAGAGAAAAGAAAGAACGCTTTTGTTACGGATAGAGACGTCAATGGTAGCGGATAAATCTTTTTCTCTCTCTTACACTCTTCATTTCTTTACGACGACAAACAGTAGCTTTGCTTAGTATTGAATTTTTTTCAAGCACGTCAACAGACTTTTCTTTTCATCGTTTTCTTTGGTCGTTGTTTATGTGGATGTACGTCTACATATTATCTTCAACATTCGAGTATAAACAAGATACATAGTTGATCATATAACGTCATAGACCATGTCTAATTAACCGATGGTATTATCGGAAAATAAAGGTCACTTCATGAAAGAAAAGATAAATAATTGAGACCAAAAAAAATCAGTAACACATTTATTTGTCTAGAAGACAAACAAAGTTCTCATATGACGCCTAAATCGATGATTCACTTGCTTGTAACGAATGTAGATTCATATTATGTGTCTTTGTCAATCGTCATCGTGAAGATATAATCGAATTGAATGATTATTTTTCTTTCTTAGAATGCTTCTTTTTATCGTAAAAACTTTTAACAAAAAAACAAATCATATTCCAAAAATATACGAAATTTACATCAGTTCACACAGTTTCTAATGCATATTCCGCGAAGATAATAATTATGATTGAAATTATCGAGATTTTTATAAATGACAGCAACTCCTACAATTGGTAAAAGATGATTTTCTTGCCTGTCAATCTTAGAACTTTGTTAATCAATCAATATTTATATTGAACATTCCCTGAAGAATTTCTGTCGAAAGCAAATTTGATTTTGTTCCATCTTGTAAATCAACTAACCGTCATTTGAATAGAGAAGATAAAAAAAAAACTTTGTGAACCATAATAGAAAAAAGTGAATTGTTCAATATAAGAATGAGTTTTCCATAAATTAATAAGAAAAACCAGCACACGATTATAATTAAATTGCTCAATTCTTCTCAGATATTATTCCTTTGAAAATCGAAAGTTTGAAAAAAATAACTTATTCTTTATTTCTTAATAATTTTATGTAGAATGAGTAAGATCAGTTCTACTATATTTATCAAGCATTTATATACACAATAAAATCGATATCATATTATTATGAAAGATTTGACATCAACGATTAAATAAAACAGAAATCTGAAAAAAAAAGTTAAAAGAAGCAAATAATACATCTATTGATGAAAACCAATTTTGTATGTAGCTAAAATTTTAACTGGAATTCATATCACCATGTTAAGTTTATACAAGCTTGTTCTGTATAGTATGTACGATTGAGTAAACGACTGAGCTGGATTTTAGATCAAAGTAACTGATTGATTCTCCACTATGTACATTATCCAATTCTATTTGATCATTTCTAAACTATTTTTATTAATAAAGCTAGCAACACTAATAAATACTTGAATAAAAATGATTCACTTTTAGATAGAAAGTTGAGAATGAGGATATTGAAAAAGATAACTGAATTGAATCTTAGATTCTTTATGTCATAATGACAACGTTCTTCATTCTATATGACACAATCAATTTCATGTAACTATCTTATGAATGGTGTCTTGCTGATGCACAGTTCAATACAAAACAGAAAAATATAATTGAATTTGTCAACTTGACTTTCATTACGTATAAAATTCGCTATATTGCCGAGCAAATAAAAAAAAACTACAATATTAAATATATTCAGCGAAAAATTTTTTTCTCAAGAATTTCTTGACATAAAACAGTGTTTTCGACTGCCGTCAAAATCAAATACCAATAACCTTCATTGGCTCTTCAAGTAAAAAACTCATGAATCATTCATCTACTATCACTATTATATATGTATAATATCATCTAAAAATCTCCGTAGTCTCACCTTTGTTTCTGATAGGTGTACCTAACGAGTAAGGCTGATTAAATTGTCAGATTCTGCTAGATTTATTTCTCGAGTAAGACTGAATCTAGAAGTTTGATTTTGATGTTAAAAGATAAAGAATTTTGCGTAGACTTTATTTATATATTCTTTTTTCATAAGAGTGTATCGTTATTTTTTCAAGCTGACAGTATCAGATAGTACTAAAACATCACTTGTTCGATGACAAAATCAGAAATGTATAAAAAACATTTTTAATTTGTTAGATTGAGTTTGAAAATTCCTTAATTGTAGTCAGTGATGTAAAATTTTTTAATGAGTCTCGTGATGTGTTTGATTGAACAGCTAATATACGTCTTCTTGGAAAAATAGAGTACATTAATCAAATGTTCAACCATCTTGATATCCTACTTAAGGAATTTTCTCAAAACTTCATGTTACAAAAGTATTTTTTTATCATGGAAAAAAGATGCAAAATTTCAAGCCGGACAAAATACTCTTCTCTAAAAAATATCAAAAAGCTACAATGTTTTATCCGATATGAAGATACACGAAAAGACTATAATTATGCATATATTTTCATGGCATGTTTGAATAGTGGATAAAAAGCTATTGGATCAAATAAAAGTGACACTTTATTGTAGTCAAATCCTGTGTAAGTAATGTTTTTGTGTAGCGTCTGATACTTTTCACACGACGAAATAGTGGTAAATGTTTAGTTAGAAAAAAGCTCATACCACTAAAAATCGACGAAAAATTTTCTATGTTCTAGTATCAGCACTAATCTTTCTGATCCGATCTTGGTCGAGAAATAAGCTTATCAGAAATTAGTAATTTAATCTGTTCCTTCGCTGTCCTCTCTTATATATCTATATAACATATGTAATCATCATAGTTTCTCATAGCCAAGATTTTAAATTAAGAAGGTAATGTATGGGTAAAAGTAGTCTTCCGTCATATCAGCTATTAGCGAGATAGAAGCGTTTAGTCTATCTCATCAATATAATTCTTTCGGCATACCTACAAAAAATAGAACTATTGTTTTCTATTCTTCTTCGTCTCACTAATCAGGATAAATTGACAACGAATGTCATATTTTAGAATTTGTTTTGAAATAAAAAAAGTCACCGATTTGTTTTAATGAAGCCTATACATTAAACGCTGATGATAATCTAGGACAAGCATATATTTATTTGCTAATTTGTATATGTATGCTCAAACAGATATTTTTGTTCAGCTGGACGCATAAGAGTCTCTATTTGGGCTGAAGCAAAATGTACTGTATAACTAGATATCGATCAAATTCTTGCAATTTATTATTTTAGATAATAAAAGAACAAATTGTGGAGAACGAAGAATAAAAAATAATAAAAGATCTATTGAATAGTAATCCTATGCCTTTTTGGCAGTAGCTTATAGACAATGATTGTTTCATGCAAAATGTTCATTATCGTTTTTAATCTTACATTTCTGCAAAGAAACATATTGTTCTCTTCGGAAATCAATAATCATAAAGTTAAACGTTCATTTTTTATTGAAGATATTTTACGTATATAATAAATTTGGTTAATAATGAACTAAATGGCAATCGAGTTCCACTCGATCGCAAAATATGTTACAAAGCTGCGAATATCAGTTTTCGAAACGATTGATGCCGTCAAAAGTACGAATGATCATTGTTAAGATTCATCCTTGAACGCTTTTCTCCAAAAACAAGATGTTTTTATTTTAAAATGAACACAACAATATTTCTTCTTACAAAATTCTTTCATTTACACAGGCTGATCCTTGGTCAACCCTACGCGACATTGCATGATGAACATCGCGCTTACATTGTTATGTCGCAAATCCATTCGTGCTTGATACTTACTATACTTGATAGATGTCTTGTATTCATCTTTTCAGAAGATAGATAGTTATTATCTTATATTTAGCATAACTCAGAATATAACTTTAAAATCACTAGACAGATTTATCCAGAATAAATAGAGACACAAATGAACAATGTCAGTTTATTAATCAGATTATTCAATGTCATCAATAACCTGGTCATCATTGCTGATATTACGAGTGAAAATATTTATCATCAAAAAAGTATCATGCAACATAGCTTGTTTATCAGACAAATTTAAATCAAACAATTAAAAGGTTTTTATTGAATATTCAATATTTTTTCTGATTTAGAAGTTAAATCATCTGGTAGAAATGTACCATCTCTTCACATTGGACAGCATTCACTCTCACAAATACACCAAACTATATTGTATGATCTACAACCAAAACATCCCTCGGTAAACGAAATGTCAGAAGCTTTGGATAAACTTACAGTTGGACTACCCTAATTGAAATTTGTAACAGTAATATCCATTTGTGAATAGAAATCATAGAAAATAATAACACAACCAACGATATCATATTGATCTGAACCATTTTCGAATACCTGAAATAGAATCTTTGTTTCATATTCTCTATATGAACAAATGTGCATATTTTGAAAACCTAGATGGGTGCCGGTTTTCTTTGCATCCACACTTAGACACACAATAACCTTGCATCAGTATAGGTTTTTTATAACATGATCTATTTCCATGCCAAAAGACATATTAG